GAGAGAGAGAGAAAGGTTGTTTTGTTTTGTTTTTTTCTATAGGGCACATGTGCCTATAGAAAGTGAGAAATCACCCCACCAGGGATGGCTGCACCATGATCCCATCTCCATTCCCCTCCTGGGATTTTGAGCACTCATGCACATGCACCTGGCATGAGTTTCAAGCTGCCTGGTCTAGGACTCAAACTGCGGTTGGCCACATGGGAGTCCACTGCCTTAACCACCATGCCACCCACTTATCCCGTTCATTGCATTTGATGTGTCTCTTATATTTGTCTTAATATGGAACAATCCCCACCCCAACTCTCACCCATTTTTCCCTACTTATTGAAGAATCCCAATAAGTTGTCCTGTAAAAATCCTACATTCTAGATTTGTCTCTGCTATTTCATGATGCCATTTAACCTGCCACTCCCCCCCCCCTTTTATTTTTAACTACAAGGTTCAAGTTGGTTCGAAGGTTTGGTTACATTCAGGTTAGAGTTTAGGGGAAGATGCTTTGTAGGTGGCATGTATAGGAATGTCAAGAGGTAGTTCCTAATGTGCAGCATTTTAAAAGTACAAATTCTTCACAGCTTTTGAAAGTTTCTGAAAATGTTTTAAGATTAAAAAGAAAAATAATGAGCAAAATCATACTGAAATCACTTTTTATTGCCCTTCCCCCACCACATCTGTACCTTTTATTCTGCTCAAGTGTTAGACTTAGTTTGGTTCGTCACATGTGAACTCCTATGTGATCATGTTATCCATTACTGACCACAAGAGGGCGTTCAGTGAACACTTGTTGTACCTTCATTTTGTGGATAGTTGACCTAGTGCTAAGCACAAATCAGCTCACCCATCCATCTCTAATTGTCTAAATTCACCTACATTACTATTTAAAAACCTAATGAAGGACCAGCAGATGGCATAATGGTTATGTTGCTGGACTCCCACATAGTTGACCATGGTTCAATTCCTGGACCACGCTTCAAGTCCCGGACAAGTGTGTGTGCATGCCCCAAATCCCAAGAGATGAGAGAAGGGATTGATGGCTATCCTCACTAGGGTGGGGGTGGGGCATGACTTCTTGCTATCTGTCTCTGTGTCTCTGGTGAGCCTACATGTCCTATAGCAAAAATCTCTCAAAAAAAAAAAAAGACTAATGAAATTCAAATATTCAGTGTATATACCCAAAAGGAAGGTTGTTGAAACAGCATGTCAAAGTATTACTCCAGAGATTACTTGCTACTTTTAAAGGGTGAAATCTACCTTAAAACTGAAGAAATCTAGGGGCATGATGGTTAAGGGTGCTGGACTCCCACATGGCTAACTGCGGTTCGAGTCCCAGACCTGGTGGATTGCTTTCTCATTTTCCCTCTTTCTCTCTCTCTCACTCACTTTATCCCTCTCTGATCAAAGTAAAATAAATTGATTAATTACATTAAATTAAATAATAAAAAAGGAAGAAATCCAGCTGTTATTCATCACCTTAATCAAATGACTTAACACAGCATCACTAGTAGTGTGGCAGTTTGAAATTGCATGCCACCTGAAGTATGCAGGGTTATGTACAAAGTGTATTGACTGAAAAAGAGAAGTTGAACCTGAAACTAACGAAGGCCTTAGGCCTTATTTCCAGTTTATAGGAAATATGGACTGAGAGAGAACCAAATCCAACAATACAGCAATTAGAGAACAGAATGTGCTAGAGTTTCCAAACTGGTCTGATTGGTCCAAAAGGTCAGTGTTAATGAAGAAAAAAAAAAGTTGGAGGGACCAGTCTAAATTAATAAGATATAACCCAGAGGTCAGACAGTGGCACACAGGGAAAACACAACATTCTATGAGACTGGCCACATGGGAAGGTTCCAGGTTCGCATCTGGAGACCTCTCTGACTGTGCCAGCCATGTGTGTGCCCATGTTCTGGGACTGGCTGGGAGTGGGTTACAGTGTCAAGATCCTATTAGGGGTGCTCTCTGTCTGTCTGTCACATATTCATGGAAAAAGTGGGGAGGGGTTTCTTTTTTTAAAAGTTGCATTTAAAAGAAAAAAAACTATGGGGCTAGCAGGTACTGTGGAGGTTAAGATGCTGGATTCCTCATGGCTGGCTGCTCAGTTCTAGTCCCAGACCCAGTGGCTTGAAAATCACTTGGGCAGGTGTGTATGCATGCCTCAAATCCCAAGAGAAGAATAGAAGAGAAGGGATTGTGGTGTGGCCATCTCCAAAACACTGGGGGAATGATTTCTCCCTCTCTCTCTCTCTCTCTCTCTCTCTCTCTCTCTCTCTCTCTCTCTGGCATGTACACATGCCCTATAAAAAGAGAGAGGGGAGCCAGCAGGTGGTATAGTGCTTAAGGCAGTGGACTCCCACACATTGGACCATAGTTCAAGTCCCAGACCTGGTAGCTTAAAAATCAGGGCACTTGTGCGTGCATGCCCAAATTCCCAGGAGAATAATGGAGGAGAAGGGATTATGGTGTTTCCATTTCTCCTAGGGGATAATTTCTCACTTTCCCTGTCATTGTCTTTTTCTCTCTCCAGTGAGCACATGCACTCTATGGCAAACACCTAAAAGAGAGAGCATTTGCACATGCACTTTAACCAAACGCAGTGCCAGAAAACTGCTGGATGACTCACAGTGATTCTAGTGGAGGCCAGGACACTAATGATGAAAAGGCATTAGAAGAATTGGAATAAAATTGTTTCGTGAGATGTGAGCAGAAAGCAGTAATATAGAGAGAATATAAATTTCCTGAAACATGATTTTCAAATTTATATATGAAACAAATTTATGGAATTCATTTTTTTTATCTGTGTACCTGAAAGCTGCTATTTTCAAACTGGCTCAAAACTTGGTCTTTAATCTCATGGAGCAAAAGGAAGAATTACCCAATGATAATTGTCATCTTAAACCCGAAGTTTTATTTCAGATGAACTTGCTTAGCACATTATTTGATAGAAATGTACTTGTACTTGTTAGTAATAGCGGAGTATTTTTAAGTGTGGGCGAGGATACCCATATTTTACATGGACACCAACATCATCCACTAGTGATGGCACAAATGCATTCTAATTACAGTGACAAAGCATTTTGAGGTTTTTTTTTTTTTCCCTTGCATCATTGTAGGTTGTATTGTAAAAATCATAGTGGAAATGATGAGAGAGATGAAGAAGATGAAGAACGAGAGAGTAAAAGCCGGGGCAAAGTAGAACTTGATCAGCAACAACTAACTCAGCAGCAACTTAATGGAAACTAGGTATGAAAGTTAACTGTATGGGATCTGTTGTCAGGATACAATACACATTAATACATACCTGCAGGAGTAATAGTAGGATTTTTAAATTCTATTACATTTAGTTAAGAGCATGTTACTAGAATGCTGAGGATTGTGTAGGCTTGCATAGGTTTTGTTTGTTTTTGTTTTTGTTTTTGTTTTAACTAGCTGATTTCGTAACTGTAAAAGCAAACCTATCCACTTTATCAATAAATGTAGTGGTAATGTTGAATCAGTAAGATATGCTCACTCCTCAATAACATTAAATTGATTGTGTTCCCTCCAGCATCATATTTTACATGTTTTTATCATCTTTTAAACAGGTTCATGGGACAGAGTTAGAAAACTGGGAATGAATAAGACATCCATAACTGCTATTCTTTTTTCACTGTTTTCTAAAATCAAAAAGGGTTTGTAACTGTTTACTGCCCCACTCTTAGATCCTTCATTGAACTGCCTAAAAACGTCTCGTTTGTTTTATGAGCCTTCAGTAGACAGCTGACTTTGACATGTTGATATTACGTAGCTGTAGTTTGCAGTTTCTGGGAAGCAATCGAAACACTATTAACCCTGTGTATAGTGTCAGCAGTTAAAGCAGACATTGAAATGAAGTAAGCTATATTTCTAGACTGAACAAAGTTCTACTGTTTAGAGTGTTTAAGTTTGTTTAGTGGATTCATACTCAAGGGAAAGCATAAGCAAGTTTTACTTCACAATGCAAACATGCCTGTGGAGGCAACACATGGTAATTTGTGGATTGTTTTTTTTTCACACTCAAGTAACGGAGGCTAGAAATGAAGAGAACTTTCTTTTTCTCTTGGCTTTGACAGCACATGCTAGAACTCTCTTCCAAGAATGTGCACTAAAGCTTTTCATTTGGTTCCTGTTAAAGTTGTTCTCACTAACCAGCATGGACTCGGGCAACTGGTGATTGTAAGCTATGAGCTCCAGTGCTTATGCCAAAATTCTCTTGACAACACACCTCTTCTCTTTCCATGTCATACAAAGAGCTTCTGGCGAAATGATTGAATCCTTTCAAGTTTAAACTCCTATTTGGCAACAGCAAATTAAACCTCTTAAAGATTTAAAGGGTTACCACTCGCTAAGGACTTTAGACGCAATGTCTGAAAACTCGTTCCTCTCAAGTGCCCTGTCGTGTGGAACACTTCACATATTGGCCCAAAGTATGTAAGGAGGTCTCGTGTGTTGTAGGAGTAAAAACAGTCTTTGCAGAAAACAGTATTTATTTTTAGTTTTGTGACCACTATTTTAGAAACTTTATTTAATATTTTTAATGTGTTCAGTCATTGTTATTGGTTATCTATTAAATAGGCTTTTGTGCCCTGCTCCTCTTCTGGTAGGGCTTGCTGTTATTGTATTGATCATCAGAATTGTTGACGGAAGCCTAAGAACCCAGCTTTGTAGAAAGGATTTTCACACTGGCATTTCCAGCTAGTGATATTCTCTTCCACTTACTGCTGAAGCACATTTATGTATTTCTTTATGGCAAAACCAAAAAACTTGCGTTGTGGTCTGCCTGATATTACCATAGCACCTCAATACCAAGGGTAGGGATTCTGATTTCTGAATTATTAGTCAACCTACCATAATACAGCAAATTTGCAGATAAAGAATACCATCTTCACGTGACTGTACTTCGAGATATTCTGTAGCTGATAGAACAGCATTTTTAAAATGTAACAGGTGGAAAATTACACTGTGCTTAATTAATGACTGATTTTTTTTTAAACTGCTAGTCCCTTAAGGTTACATTTTATCATGTGTCTAGCCACACATTTACTTAAATCAAGGGACTCAATGCTTGCTTTATTTTAATCATGTCTCATTGTTATTTTTAGAAGGAAACTAGCTTTAGTAGTGGGTTGCCCTATATGTTTCTCTTTTTGCTCTTAATATGCCATTGGATTTTTTGTGTGTATGTGATTTTCAAAAATTCACCATGACTTGAAGTGCAAGGACAGATCTAAATGTTTGTTTACCAAGCTATGTGACTTTTCCCAAAGGATCTGTACTTTATTTCCTTACAACAGCTTGAAAACCATTATTTTTTAAATCTTCAAATCACTGTGTCTAGATCAGTTTTACATTGTGTGCCACAGACTTACCCATGGGACTACAGACAGAGCTCCTTCATTTCTGGACTACTGTAATGAATTTTTTTAGGAAAAATGGAAGGTACCAGGGGTAATCATGGCCAGTCAATAATTATATAAAGGACTTCAAATACTTTAGCTGTCAATCAGTGGATTTATCATGTAGTGAAATGTATGATTTTTGTATGAGTTGCTTCAGCCCTTTCTCTGCCACTAGCCACCAGAATAGCACTTTACCTTTTGGTTGGCTAGGTAAGTGGCTGCCTACCTGTTTTATTCACTGTGGTGTGATTGGCTAATCGATACTTCATTAAAAATTGAAATGTAAATTAAAGTCACATGAAAAATCACCGTTGGTTGTAAATCTTCAATAGTTTGATTTTCTAATCATGTTTTTGTCACATGCTGAGTAAAAGTGCCTTACAATGTAAAAATTGTACAGTACTTATGTTCCCAAGTAGCATCATCATCTTCTGGGTAGTGATTACATTGTGGTATTAATATTTAGAAAAAAATGGACCTCAGCAGTGTATTTACTGTACATCTCTTAAGTCCTTAACTGTAGTTTTAATAAGCATGACATTATTTGATAAGTATATAACATTTACATCATTTCAAGAAAAAAATACTGCCATTACCGTCTTTTATGCATATTTTAGCCTGAAATTTTGAAGCGTCTTTCGTTCCTTTTTTCTTTTTTTTTATGTTTTTTTCTTTTGTTATCGATATTAAACAGTGTAATCTTTGCAAGCGTATATTGAAGATTATTCTGGAGCATTTATTGCCTTACCAGAAATGTTAGTAAGAAATGTTCTTTAGGAGTAGAAAGATAGACTTGAGTTTCTATACTTTAATAAGAGCTCTTTGTTCCTAGGGGGAGGCGGGGTGGGGGGTAAATTTTCCTTTCATCTCAATTTATGAAAAACCCACAGCTGAAAGAAATTTTATTTCAAGGATCAGTAATTTTAGAATTTCAGAGAGTACTTGCTCAGAAGTGTGTGCTCCTCAAGATATGAAGAGAATAACAAGATCTGTAGGTCTACTATTAAATCAGAATCTATGTACTTGAACAAATGTGTGAATCTCAAATATCTCAAAGCAAAAGAAAAAGTGTTCTAGAATGTTGTTGCTTTTTTGAAAAGCACTGAAGTTAGACCAAGGTATACAGTTTTGTTCTAACAGACATTTAGGTTCATTGTAAAGATAAGGAATGCATTATGGGTCAAAAAAAAAGCAAACATTCCTCTCATGTTATGTATATTTTGTTCCTGTTATATTGGCTTTATTTTCAAAAATGTAGTTTGTAGTATTAGTTTCCTTTTATTGGTATTGCATATACTATTCATTCAATAAATGAGTTATGACTTTGATATTGTGTGGGCTTTTCTTTTGCGCGTGAAAGCATACGATAAAGCTTCTTGGATGATAGCAATAGTACACGTGCCTTTTAGTCCCTGCTTTATTTCAAGGTGAAACGTCTAGTTTGTGTGGGAACTTGGTATTAAGTATGGGGGAGAGAGAAGAACGTGAATTTGAATTCAGTGCAGAGTTTCATAATACAAAAGGTTTATGTTGGAGAGAAACAGCAATCGTTATGTACACGGAAACTGCATTACAACTTGGTGGTTTTATTACATGGTTCCATTTTCTATAACTTAAATGGGGTCCTCTGGAACACAGGTAGAAGGTGATCTTGGAAATCAACATACTAAAACTCCTAGTACAATTTATCTGATGGGTAAAATAGGGACAGAGGATTAATATCCTTGTCAGAAAGGGATTCACCTCAAAGATTTCAAGTGATTCCTGTTAACATGGACAGCTTACTTCTAATACAGTGCTCATATATGAGCGTGGCCATATCCAGGACAAAAAAATCAAAGTTTCAATTAGTAGAATATGCTTATTTCATACACACAAGTCCTAACCTGCATTCCTATTCAGGGAAAGAAAAAATTCAAGTAATAGATTCTACTTAGTGCTGCAGTATAAGAAGTCTGCTTTACTGAAAATGCTACCTCACAGTGCCTGGTGCACATGCATGTGTGCATAAATCTGTGTGTGTGTGTGTGTGTGTGTGTGTGTGTGTAAAATTCATGAAGTCTCATTTTAATCACCACAATACAAACATGGGAGCTATGTGGTTTCCTTTGGCTAATTCAAACTGTTGATAGCTGTCTTTTAGTTATGTTCCCTTTCGTTTGGTCAGCTATAGTTGCTGGCAATTGCTGAGTCCATTCCAAAGCATAATCCTGGTAGAATCTTCTAGAAGAATTCTGTGGACAGCAAGTAGCCAGTCTGTCTTTTTAAGACAAAAATCCAGGGGTCTAGCAGGTGGTGTAGTGGTTAAAGCACTGGCCTCCCACATGGCCAACCATGATTTGAGTCCTGGGCCTAGCAGCTTGAAAAAAATCACTGGGTGCATATGTCCCAAATCCCAAGAGAATGGAGGAGAGGATTGCAGTATGGCCATTCCTCCTGAGGGTTGATTTCTCTCTCTCTCTCTCTCTCTCTCTCTCTCTCTCACACACACACACACACACACACACACACACATGCCCTATGGCAAAACCCTTAAAGGAGAAAGAGAAAAACTCAATCCCTCTTATATTTATATATTAGAGTCCTTGTGAGTGATGATATTCTAGTGGAGAGACATGAAAATATACAATTTGAAGGGAAAACCTATTAAATGGGACCTTAACGGACTGCAGATAGCATAATGGTTAGGTCGTTGGACTACCATATAGTTGAGTGCAGTTCAAGTCCCGGACCTGGAGGCTTCAAATTCATGCCAGGCATGTATGCGTGCATGCCCAAGATCCCGAGAGGAGAATGGAAGAGAAAGGATTGTGGTGTGGCCATCCTCCCTGAGGGCTGATTTCTTGATTTCTGTCTCTGTCTCTCTGGTGAGTGAGTGCATGAACCCTATAACAAGAATCTCTCTAAAAAATTTTTTAAAAATAAATAGAAGGACCATAAAGACCAGATAGTCAAGAGAGTGTTAGAAGTGAGGAGACAAGGAGCTGGCAGGTAGCATGGTGGTTATGGGTGCTGGACTCCCCTGTGTCTGACCTTGGCTTGAGTCTTGGACCTGGTGGCTTGCATTTTCACTTTCCCCCCCTCTCTCTCTCTCTCTCTCTCTCTCTCTGGTCAAATTAAAAAATAAAGTTAAATAAAATAATTCTTAAAAACATCAACTGAGGAGACAAATTGGGTCCAGCAGTGGGAATGGTTACATCACTGGACTCCTACGTAGTCAACAGTGGTTTGAGTCCTGGACCCAGTGGCTTCAAACTCATGCTGGATGTGTGTGCATGCATGCCCAAAATCCTGAGAGAAGAGTGGAGGAGAAGGGATTGAGCGTAGCCATCCCCGCGGGGAGTGATTTCTCATTTTCTCTCTCTATGTCTCTCTAGCAAGTGCCCATACCCTATAACAAAATCTTAAACAAAATATCAGAACTATTTACCGATTTCTTCATTCACGAAGGTAATCTATAGACATTGAATTACTGATACATGCCACAACGTGGATGAACCTTGGTAAGAAGCCAGGCTCAAAAGGTCACATATACTATGATTCCATTTATACACAGTGTCTGTCCAGAGAGGCAAATCCAGAGAGATAGAATGTAGCTTAGTGGTTGGCAGGGGCAGTGGAGATGGGAGAAAGTGGAGTGTTAATAGGTATAGGGTTTCATTTTGCACTGAGGAAGTATGGAATTAACTGGCATTTGATGGTTCCACAACTGTATGAATATACTAAGAACTATAAATGATACACTTTAAAAGAGTGAATTTTATGTTACGAATTTTATCTCATTCTTTAAAAAAGTAATATGCAGTCAGTATACAAAATTAAATTATATAAGTGTTTATAAAGCAAAATGTGAAAAATCCCCATTCTCCACAAACCTACTCCCTCAAGTAGTTTTTTATTAAGTTTATTAATTTTTTTTTCCAGTTTGACCAGAAGAGAAAGAAAGGGAAAGTAAGAAAGCAAGCTGCCAGGTCTGGGACTCGAACAGCAGTTGGCCCTGTGGGAGTCTAGTGCCTTTAACCACCATGCCATCTGCCACCTCCCCACTGCCTTTTTAAAGAGAGTTTTGCTACAGGGAGTGTGCACTCGCTGGAGAGACAGAAACAGACAAAAAGCGAGAAATCCCCTCAGGGGGGATGGCCACACCACAATCCCTTCCCCTCCATTCCCCTTTCAGGATTTTGGGCACTTACACACACGTGCCCGGTGTGAGTTTGAAGCCGCCAGGTCCAGGACTAGAACTGCAGTCAACTATGTGGGTGTCCAATGATGTAACCATTACTGGTCTGCGGTCTTTTTAAAGAGATTTTTGCTATAGGGTATGTGTGCTTGCTGGAGAGACTGAAAGCAAGAAATCACCCCCAGGGGATGCGGCCATGCTGCAGTCCCATCTCCGTTCTCCTCTCGGGATCTTGGGTACACACAAACGCGTGCACACACACACACATGCTTGGCATGAGATTTAAGTTGCAGGGTCCAGGACTCGAACCATGGTCGACTACATAGCAGTCCAGTCACGTAACCATTACATCATCTGCTGGTCCCCTCCCTAAAGTATTTAACATATATCCCAAATGTTTTGTATTTATATAACGGATATTTCTGCTTTTTTTTTTTTAAAGGTTTTTGCCATAGAGTCAGAGACAGTGAAAGGGAAAGTGAGAAATCACCCTCCAGGGGGAATGGCCACCACGATTTCTTCTCCATTCTCCTGTGATTTGGAGCATATGTGCTTGGCATGTTTATTTTTAAGCCTCAAGTTCTGGGACTTCAACTTTGATAGGCCATTTGGGAGTCCAGTGCCTTAATCACCATGTCACCTGTCAGCCCAACATACATACTTTTTAAAAACATAAATACAATCATTTTATACCTACAAATCTGCATCTTGTCTTTTTCACTTGAATGATATTACAAGGTATCAGTACATCCAGAGTTCTCAAAGTATTTTTAGCAGTTCCATGGTATTTCAGCGTATGGATGAATAGAATTGTTCTATCAAGTCTTTACATTTTCATGTTCTTATGCAAGTAATTTGTTAGGCTACATCTCCAGAAGTGTAACTGCAAAGTCAAGGGTATACACATTTAAGGTTTGGATAGAAACTGTCATCCAAAAAATATGTGCTACTCTTACTGTAATGTGTCTGGGGACAATGTCAAATGAGAAAGAACACGTAGTGTGGTGGAGCTGAGTTAGTGTACAGTGCACTAGTTGTAATCTTTTTTTTAATTTCTTCTTTTTTTTTAAGAGAGCTTTTTGCTATAGGGTGTGTGTGCTTGCCAGAGAGACAGAGACAGAAAGCAAGAAATCACCCCCCAGGGGTGATGGCCACATTGCAATTCCTTCTCCGTTCTCTTGGGATCTTGGGATCTTGGACACACATGCACGTGCGCCTGGTGTGAGTTTGAAGCCCCTGGATCTGGGTCTCAACTGTGGTTGACTACATGAGGAGAGTCCATTACGCCATCTGCTGGTCCTCATATTTTTTTAAAATGAAGTGAGCCATCTTTTGTTCATTTAAATTAGTGTTTGGAATTTTTTTGAAAATTATTTATCATCATTATTATTTTCATTTGCTGTAGGGCTCATGCACTCACCAGAAAGACAGAGAGAGAGAGAGAAAGCAAGCCATCAGGTCTAGGACTTCAACTGTGGTCAGCCATGTAGGAGTCCAGTGTCTTAGCCACCACACCACCTGCCGGCCCCAATGGCATTTTCAGTTTGGTATGCAGAAAATGTTTTGTTACATTGCAGGTTTTAATGTATTCAATAAATGCAACATGCAGATTTTAAAAAATGTGTGCTAACTTAACAGTCCGTCTACAGGGATTAAGCTTGTCTGCTTTCCCACTTCAGAAGACTTTAATGAAAGAAGATATGGTACTTCTTTTCAAAAAATACACTCTATAGAAAACTATGGGATTTTAATTTTGTTGTGAAGCTCATGTAGACTCAAAGCAGCATAAAGATTATTTTAGGGAAACTGGATACTATATTTCATTTGTTAAAAGGTTAAAGTATGTTCATTCGTATGTATTATTAATGGTAGTAATTGATGAACTATATCCCTTCCTACTGATTTCTGAAGAGTAACTGATTGCTAATCACTGTTCTTCGTTATTCCCAGATGATACCTGCTTCTCTGTGTTCAGGGCAGTAGACTTGGTTCACTGCACTCCAAGGAGTCAAGGAAAGGAGTTTAGCTGAGGAACTCCTATGACATTTATCTGTTGCAGAATGACTCTTATTCCCCAAATTATTAATGTGTTAATTGTGGTTTTTAAGAATTATTTATTTGATTTTATATATTATTATTATCATTTAA